AGGAAGGAAGAAAGAAAGAAAGAAAGAAAGAAAGAAAGAAAGAAAGAAAGAAAGAAAGAAAGAAAGAAAGAAAGAAAGAAAGAAAGAAGGAGGAGGAGGAAAAAGGAGAAGGAGAATAAGAACAAGAACGAGAATGAGAAGCAGAATGAAAACAAGAACAAGAGGAAGAGCGAAGGTGGGGGGGGAGGGGGAATGGAAGAGAAAGAGGAGGAGGAAGAGGAAAGAAGAAGGGCAAATAAGAGGGGGAAAAGAAGAGGAGGAGGAGAGAGAGAAAAGAAAGAAGAACAGGAGGGAGAAGAAGAAAATCAAAGTAACTGCTTCATATAGTTGTCACGAATATTAAAACTATGTGCCTGGCACATAAAAGCTTACATACATTTTACTGAAATACCAGTTCACTAATTTTATTGTGACTAATTTTTGATTAAAATTCTATTATGTCATTATTTAGCAATATCCTTATAATCCGTTTCATACATTGACGTTGAACTATAAGAATACATCCTTAGAAATGAAACTACATCAGAAAGTTTGCCAAAAAAAATTAAGTACTCTCATGTAAAGGCTTTGCCGGATGGCTCTCCAGGAAGCTGTCCCAGCAATGGGACAGAAGAGCCCTGCTCCCCACAGACTCATCAATGCTGAGTTTTATGGTACTTTAAAAAAAAAAAGTCTTTGAGCATTTAGAGGAAAAGTAATGGCATCTTCCTTTGACTTTCTGTAACTGTCTTGGATAATGTCAGTGGATAATCATTTTTTTTTCATATTGATTACCCATTGGAATTCTTTTCAGTTACTTTCCTTTTCAAATGTTCTGTCCCTTCTTTTTGCAAAGCCAGGATCAAACCAGGGCCTTACCCATGGGCAAGTCTGCCACCATCTGAGCCACATACATCCCCAGGCCTGCTTATTTTTTATTTGACCAATTGATCTCCACTCAGTTTACTTATTGGGCTCTTTATATATGTTGATTTAATTTCCTTAAATATATTGTCAAACTCATGGCAATTTTAAACATGTCTGCAAGTTTTGCATTTTTATGAAGCCAAATTCCACAGTCTTTCTCGTTTTTGCCCTTTGGGGTACCTTGTAAAGACCGTGTCTACCCAAGAGTAGGGACTAAATCTATTTTGCTTTACTCTAGAACATGAAAGTTCTCCCATGCATGCCTATTTAGATCTCTACTGTACATGTCTGGAATTAGAAAAGAGAATAAACTATGACCTTAGGACTCACATTTTTCTGTTTGGCCAGTTTTCCCAAGATCCCTGGTAAGAGAATCCATCCTTTCTCCACTCACTCCAAAGTCGGGCTGCCTATGAAGCATCAGATTTGCCAGTACCCTTGGCTCTGACTGGGGCAGGGAGGTTAGAGATGCACTGATTAAGGGAGAGCAGGTTTAGGCTGAGCTTATCTCCCACTCCACCCTCCTCCCTCATCCACTGGCCTCATTCCTCACTTTCCATGGCAAAGGCCAGATGCCAAAGCCAGGGCCTCTCTGTTCCCTGCGCTGCACACGGACAGGGCTGCAAATGCAGCTCCTGTGGGCAAGCCACAGGCAGGCCCAGCAGACCCCTCTGCTGTCTCTGCCTCCTCCCCTTCTCCCTGCAGCAAACGGGCTTACAAGTGACTCCGTGCGTGTTCTGTTCTTGGGTTCTGTCCTCCCTCAGGATGTAAGCCAGCAATGGCTTTTCCTGCACAAAGTCTCAAGCTCCCTCTAACTAACAAACCTTCCTAGAAATCTCTGGCATGTGGGTGGCATTTATTGTTAGTTCCCTGCATGAAGGCAGATGTACTTTGTCCTCCTATATCTTGACAATCACAGCAATGAGAATTTGGAGGTGGGTGGGGTGAACACCTGTGTTCAAGTACCCTACTTGCCAGAATGCCACATGGCTTTGGAATTAACACACAATCCTGTCTCTTGCAAATTCCAAGAACAACCTGTGCCTGGGAACAGGCAATACGCAATGCACACACATTACCTTTGATTGCTGCTAAATACCCTCGGAGCTCTCGCTGAAGTCTGGTACCCTCTGCCTGCAAAACACACAAGCACAGAGATGCTAAATATCCCACCTATATTTTGCACACAAACACATAAGAAGCAATAAAGCTCAAAGCTTTTGTTGCCAAAGGTTTGTTCTTTTATTAGTGTATATTAGTTATACAGAACAGTACATCTCATTATGGCATAGTCGCACATGCACATAACATATTTGGATAATTCCCCCTTTGCTCTTTTTGGCCCCTCCCGCTTACTTCCCTCAACTGACCTAATAGTCTCCAGAGGCTATTTATGATGAAAGAACATAAATATGTGGACAAAGACTAAACAAGGTAATAGTGTCCATCGGTTTACATATGTGTGGAGATTTCATCCCGCTTAAAAGAACAAGGCAAATAAGACTTTGCTAAGAGTAGAAAGTGCAAATGAAAGAGCTATCACTTCTCTTATTTTGACACTTGGGAAACAACAGAACAGAACTGATCTCTATTAATCACGGCAGCCATGTGGGCATAGCATAAATGGCAGGTCCAAACTGAGATCACTGCATTCTGCAGTCAGTGTATCTCAGAGATAATAGGTTTTAGAGACTTAGTACAAAAAATAAGATATCTCATTCATACATTTTATATTGCTTATATCTTAAAATGATAATACTTCATGCGAGTTTAAAATTATTTTCACCTATGGTTTATACTCCTTTAAATGTAGCTCTTGGCACATTTTAAATTATGTGTGCAATCTGCATTGTATTTCCAAAAATAAACAGAGAAATTGCTAAATCACAAATTTTGACAGATTAATTTAGAGTAAGACGAGGAAATGGCAACACAGGACCAGATGTGCAGGCAAGGAAGCAAAGAGGGACCACACAGCGTGTTACTAAGTAATCTCACCCCTGTGGACAACTGGAGCCCAGTTACACCAGGGAACTCAGACACACAGTGCCACCCAAACACCCCACAGATACCCTGCATGAGGGGAAGGAAGCTGAATGTTTATCTGTTGATTCCTGTCACGCATTGGTAAGAGAGAGCTCTAGGGGAACACAGTCCTTCAATAGCCAAGGACAGCCACCAGCCAGTCAGCCTGTGGGCTTGGAAAAGGTAAGTGCCCCTGCCCACAGGATCTGCTTTACCACTGCAGCTGAAAATACTGAACCTGCATGCATGTTAACTGTACAATCATTGAACAGAATTGCAAAAAGAACGACTCCACCTTGAGTTCAGCAGTAAGACAGCAGCTACAATAGCCATATTCAGCTCAACAGGAATGTGTCAGAACTTACCGGAAAGGGTATACGGACCTAGTTCCTCAATAAGTCACAGCTGAGTAGAACTAAAGTAGCTAAATGAACAACAAAGGTACAAAGCCACATACGAGGTGTGATCTAAAGTTACAGTGAATGTTTAAATTTTAAAATTTACTATAGTAAAAGACACATTGCCATTTATCCCCCTTCAAAATCTTCACCCTTGCTTTGAACACACTTATCCCATGGTTCTTGCCACTTTCTGAAGCAGTTCTGGAGGTCCTCTTCCATGAGTGTCTTTGGTTGTGCGACTGTGGCTGCCTCAACATTCTGAATCAATTCAAAACCTTTACCTTTTTTGCTCACTTTGACTTTACGGAAGAGCCAGAAATTTCATGGTGCCAAATCCACTGACTAAGTTAGATGAAGTAATTGATAGAAACTGCCATAATCTTTTTGAATCAATTCAGGATATTAAAGCAGCTGTGAACAGATACTCACAAAAGAGAACTTCCAGAACTGCTACAGAAAGTGGCAAGCACCATGGGATAAATGTGTTCAAAGTGAAAAGGAGGGTTTTGAGGGGGATTAATGACAATATTTTATTGCAATAATTTTTTTTAACTTTTAAACATTCACGATAGTTTTTGATCACAGTTCATAGCTCTGCAAAGACAGAGTATTTTGGGGCATGAAACAATGACAAAATGCCCATAATATTAGAAAATATTACTATGATGAATATCAAAAAACTCTGAAAAGTTATGTTTGCCTTAAGGCTATGGTTGCCTCTAAGAGTGCCTATATAGAACTGCAGAGTGCAGGGTAGAGTGACATTATTTCTAAGAAGTCTGTGTAAATTTCAGGTAAGGCTGTCTGCACTTGAGTCAAGTTATGGCTATTTTTGCAGCTCAGGAAATTCAGTTACTACCAGACAAAAATTCATGGTTTATTTATTTGCTGTCAAATACAAATTTCAACCAGAAAAGTTCTTTGCAGGATGGAAAAATAGAAACTCATCAGAGTTCTGAACCAGCAACTTCCTTTCTCTGATTTCTACATGATTTAAAATCAAAACTCTAGGTTTCTCTTGTCTTGCTGAGCCATTCAGAAATCTACTGTGAAGGCAAAATGCCACCAACTATATGGGACAAAAATAAATCATAGTAGATTTCCAAAATAGTCAATCATAGTAGAAAGTGATTTCCAGGGAAAGAATCAGGAGAACAAGAGAAAATGCTGCTGATAGACAATTGAGAAAGGGTAGGGAATGGCACAGTGATGCACACCTGTAATTCCAGCACTCTGGGAGGCTGAGGCCAGAAGATTGTAAGTTCAAGCCCAGACTTGGCAACTTAGGGACTTGGCAGACCCTATCAAAATAAAAAGCAAAAAGGGATGGGAATATAGTTCAGTGTGAAGGCCCTGGCTTCAATATCACAGTGTTTTAAAAAGTAGAGGATGAAGAGGATCCAGATTTAAAACACTTGGAGCATCAATACCACCAAGAAATAATTGTGCAAAGAAAGAAGCTTCTTTTCCCACACTGACTATCTATTGTATGACAAGCACTAAAGCAGGCTCTGACTAAAGTCCACTCTAATCAATAGTATAACTTTTCTGTGTTCAGTTATCAATGGTCAATCATGGTCCAAAAACATTAAAGAGGGGAAAAAATAAATCAACTTGTAAGATTCAAATTGTAGGACACTCCTAATAATATGATGAAATCTTGTGCCAGATATCTGAACCATCCCTTTGTCCAGTGTATCCACATTGTATATGCTACCCACCCTTCAGTCATGTAGTACCTGTCTTGATTATCAGATCAATTGTCAGTGAATTGCAGTCACTGTCTTCAAGTAACCTTTATTTATTTATTCTACTTTATTCTATTTAATAATGACAATGGTGACAATGATGTTGGTCATTCAGATATGAGACAAAGTGCTCACTTTAAGTTCAAAAGAGAAAATTCTTGATTTAGGAAAAAAGAAAATTCATATGCTGAGGTTGCTGAGATCTATAGCAAGTTCATCTCCTACTATATTTAATTTACAAATTAATTTTATGTCTTTGTATGGAAAAAACATAGTACATATTGAGTTCAGTACTGTCTGTGGTTTCAGGCATCCACTGGGGGTCTTGGAATGTATCCCTCTTGAGAAAGGAAGGACAGCTGTATACAAAAAAGTAGAAAAGTGTGGACTTGGGAGGTAATTACTGTCAGCCTGTACTGCACCTCCCTGTCAGATCTGTTTGGGGAAAAAGAGTCTAGTTTCTCTTCAAATAACATCACGCTGTGTTAAGGCCTTTACCTAGCCAATGAAACATGAGTGGAAATGATATGCACTACCTTAAGCCAAAGCCACGACAGCATCACATAGACCTGCCATTTCTTTTCCCTCTGCCATGAGCCCAGTAATGTTCAAGCTTGGGGCTACTTCTCCAACCCAGATTCCTGAATAACTGGAACATGCAGATCATTGCTGCTCACATATTCAAGAGTGATTACAAACATCTATTTGGAAAGCCACTGTGATATGACTAGCACAGCATTTACATTGCCTGATGAAATGAATGATTACCAGTAGGGAAATGGTCACAGATGGAGAAGTTTGAAATCCAACAGGAACAACAACAAAAAGCCCACGGGCTTTAATGAGCAGAAAAGCACTAAAGGCTTTTCTGAAGAGAAATCAAACTGGGAAGAGTACAGACAAAAGGGGATGGTTAGACAATGGAAGCCTGTGTGATGGGAAGAAATGGGAGTGGAACTGAGAAAGAGAGAAGTCAAGCCTCAGAATCATCTGTCCCATCAGATATCAGACAACTTAGAGACAACTGTCTCTGACGTTTGATATGTGATTATCTCAGATAGAGCTAGATCCATGCCAATCCAAACGCTAGGCCTTTGATGGTACAATTAGGTCGGTTTGAATTCTCCCAAAGTCACGTTTCTCAAACTATCTCAGTATGGACTCGGAAGTGCTAGGGCACATACAGCCACACATAAACCTAAAAAATCTCTCTGGAACATCATTTTATTGAGGTAGAGGAGGAGCAAGTGTGAGTGATACCATTATTTTACAATCACTGTGATGTTTAAACTTAACTGTATCAACTTGGTTGGTTTAAAAATGGAGATTAGGACCAGAGATATAGCTCAGCAGCACAAGCACCTGCCTGGCAAGCACAAGGTCCTGAGTTTGATTCCCAGTACCAAAAAAAAAGGAGATTAGTAAAGCATAGCTCTGGGTGTGTCTGGGTGGATCACAAAGGCATGACTTTGGATATTATATATGGTCTTTGGTCCCTTCCTCTTCCTATTGCTGTTTCCCTGTTCTGCTTCTCAATGGCCATGAATTGAGAATGCTTCCTCCACCACTCCCTCCCACTATAATTCTGCCTTGAAATCAGACTGCCATGAACTAAATCTCCTGAAGCTGTGAGCCAAGTTATCTTTCATCCTTTAAGTTGTGTTAGATACTCTGCCCCAGCAATGTGGAAGCTGACTGATACAACCACTGAACCATCTGCTGTAAAGTAGAATGAAAGACTGCACAGATATGAGTCCCAGAACCTCACAGACATCTCCAAATTTTACCTGCCTGTCCTGCTATGCATGGACCTTCCATGGAAAACTCTGAGAGGCACTGAGCTAAGACAAGGTTCACTTCCCACCCAGAGGGTACTTTGCCCTCAAATAGCATGCAAAGTCCACCATGAAAATGTATGGCTCAGGATCACCAAGATTCTTCAGAATTCCTAGAAATAGCA